CTCCAAGGCAGGGCGGCATGGCAGAGGGGCATCGCAGAGGAGAAACAGTTCATGGCGTGGAAGGCAGAAGGCAACAAGCAGCAGGGGTAGCAGAAGCAGCAAACAGCAGCAAGCCTGCCTTCTTTCTGTCCCTTTACGTTCCATGCAGGGTACCCGGCTTTTGGGTGGTGCCACTCAGAACTATGCTAATACCAATCAGTGGACTGATTTAGTACCACACAGCTGCATTCCAGCATCCCAGTCTTAATCCACATTCTGCTCCCTAGATCCAGCCACCTCCAAATAGCCCCAAATAACCCCCAAATAGCCCCACCTCCAAATAGCCCCACTTGTGAGCACATGAGTCTATGGGGAGGACATCTAGACACAAACCACAAGAGGAACCAAATAGCCACAGGAAGAGCTAAATAGGCCGTGAACCATGAGCACCAAAGTGGCATAAAACACTTCTCTTTCTGCACTCGCAGGGTCCTTAAGTGCCTTCGAGGTTGAGTAGAATCCACCATCTTAGGCGACAAACTCATGAACCAAGACGTGGTGAGGAACAGGGAACCATGAAACCAATTTGCCCCTGGAAGTGATTCTACCTGCCCCAGTCCCCAAGGACGACAGGCCCGAGGGCTTGCTGCAGCTCCGTGAGGACCCTGGGAGAGCCCCGCCCACAGGCTGCTCACGGGACTCCCCTGTAAGTTGGACTAAATATCGGAACCTGAGTGCAACGTTCTCTCTCCCTCCAGTCTACCCTGTTTCTTGCCATCACAGTAATCATCCAAAGAGGTCGATTTGAGCGTGGCCTCTGGGTTTAACATGTCACAATGGGGCTGTAATGTCTATGCCAGGTGGCTGGATCCACCAGCGGTACATGCTTGACTGTACCACTTCTACCACCAGCAGTAAAAGCTGCCTGATGGGACAGTCATGCACGGACCACCGGTGTTTCATGGAACGTGTTAAAAGCTGGCAGTGGCTCCTCCCCGCCCTCACGTGACACACAGCCCGACCCTCGCTGGCCCTGCAGCCTCCTCCTTCTGTGCTGCCCCCGGCCTCATAGACTCCCCTTGGCGGCTCCTGCCCAGGCCTTTGCACCCCCGCTCCTCTGCCTGAAACTCTCCTTCCCGCCTCACCCAGTTTCCCTGCCACCAGCCCCTGCTCCTGGCAGACACTCATAGAGCCTTGGTCATGGTCACACCCCTAGGAGACATGCCATAAACCTCAGCTCCACGGCTACTTGGTTGCTTTGCCGTGGCCCCTAGGAGGTGCCCGCCTCTGAAGGAGCAGTTGGGCTGACTTTCCTCTCAGGGCCACGAAGGACTTTTATTCCACCACCTTCTGGGGGAGGAAGCTGTGACCCCGCCCCTTCCAGAAGCTTCTGTGCCCTCCAGGGTGAGGGATGCGGGCTCCCGCCGCACCCGTCAGGAAACTCACGTGTTGTGGGATGAGGAGATCCAGTAGTGGGACAAGGGGTTGTTCATGTCCTGCATGTCGACCGCGTCGTGCTTCCCGTCCCAGATGCTGTTTTCTCGGGAAAACAGGTACGTGAGGAACTGAAAGAGTCACAGGCGGGAGCGTGGTGGAGATGACAGAGATGGCTGCCCTGGGCCACGCAGGAGAGGGCAGCATCAGAGGTGGCCGCCTGACCTCGGCGACCAGGACTTCAGGGTGGCTCAGACCACAACAGGCCGCACTGACACGTGTTTCAGGGCAGTCCTCTCCTGATGTTGATCCAGAAATATCTGACACTGCAAGGCCTCTGCTTCCCGTACAGAAGGTTCCGGCAGAGCAGTGGCAGGGGCATTTGGGGTCCAGCACCCCGCTGAAGAAGCAGCACTGCCCAGAGCACAGCACCAAAGGCCGGCAAATTGCCCTCCCCAAACTTGAGCCCCTCTGTAGAAAAAACGAGAAGCCTGAGTGAGCTGGGGCCACGTCCTGCTGCCTGGGAGGGGCTCCTAGGGGGAGGGGTCCCCATTTCTCGCCATGCCCCTCCCCGGCTGCCCATCCAAGGTCCAGTGCAGCCATTTCCACCAGCCCCAGGAACCTTTTTCTGTGTAATGGCTCCTCTCTCCCGGGTGGCAGGCGCCCCCTAGTGGCGACATTTATAACCCTACTCTGGAAATGTGGTCAAAAGAGAAGAAAAGGCAGGCAGGAAAAACCCAAGACCTGGGAAAACCTCCCCTGATGGACTTGGTCAGAGGCCTCTGACAGTAACACCCTCCGTGGGAAGAGCAGAAAATGAACCTCAGAAGACACGGACTTGAGTGAAAAGCTGCACTGTCAGGACGAGAGCCCAGCACTCACCTCGTCTACAAACAAGAAGGGCTCAGCAGTCTCCCTCATGGTGTCGTCGATAAACTTTGTCATCCGCTCCCGGACTTTGTTTAGATCCTGAGCCCAAAGCTCCTGAAGAAGAGAAAGAGAACAAGAAATCACCAAAAAGAGAGCGGACAAAATTCTTCATCTCCCACAATCCATCCAGCTGCAAGGAAAGACCAAACTGTCGGCTAATTCCGAATTCACTGGGCACCAAGCACCATCCACAGAGGCCTCATCCTGGGCATGGCCTGTGCACGGCCTCAGCAAATGTTTGCTGCCGAGGCCACAGAGTGAGTATCTTAGGCTCCACAGGCCACAGTGCGGAACCTGTGCTACCGCGCATCCCTGCACTGCACAGCGAAAGCCAGCACAGCCAAGACATGGCCAAAGGCCACGGAGCGTTGCAGTAGAACTTTATTTACAAACACAGGTGGGTGCTGCTTTGGGCCAGGGGCTATGGTTTGCCAACACCTGCCGCATGCCAGCTCATGACATCTGTATAATGCACCAGGGAGGACCATGGTCACAGCAGCCTGCCAGGTCCCTCACGTGGCCTCTCTTCTCACCACAGGTGACCCTGGGTGAGCACTTCTTTGTGTCTCTTCAGCCTTGAAACAGGAATAACAGTATGTACCGCACAAAGCCTCTGCATCCGACTGTGCTTAACACGGCACCAGGCACGCAGAAAGCGCTCAAGTCATTGCCCTATGTGAACAATCCTCTTCCTACCATCAACTCAGAGTCATACATATTGTCACTGCCATTTTAGACACGAGGACACAGAGCCACAGGACGCCACATAACTCCCCTCACAGAGCTCTCAAATAGTGCAGTCAGAGTTCCAACTAACTAAACTTTGGAAAACAGACACAAAATCTAAGCAAATGCTGTGTTGTAGCCAAGTGTGGTTGTGCATGCTTGTAATCAGAGCATTCTGGGAGGCTGAGGCAGGAAGATCACAAGTTCAAGCCCATTCTAGGTGACTTATTTTACCCTCTCTCAAAAGACTAGAAAGAGGGCTGGGAATGTAGCTTGGTGCAAAGGCTAGTGCAAAAATTAAAAAGGCCCTCTTTACAAGGAGTCAGCCAACTAAAGCTGCTCATTGATAATGTTACAAAGTGGCTTCTACATAATATAAATTCTGGAAGCCTTTCACAAAAAAGAATAAATAACAAAGTGACTTTATTATTTTCCTCTCTATACCCTGAAACCCAAGTATCGCTAGACAATATGGGTGAACTAGGACACACAGACCCAACTTTGACTAATGCTTGCTTGGTTTCCAATATTCTAAAGCCTCTGTCCTTGTGGATGACAGAAGCTAAGGTGCCGCCAGATGTGTGTGGCCGGGTGGGCGGGGTCAGATGACAACTCAGGGAAGAATAAAAACCCAAGGACACACACAGGCGTGCAAAGCCATCCTTAGCCTTGTGGTTGACTTGCAAATCTGCCTGGATCAGGGATACAAAGCAACCAGGAGGCCATGGAACAGCGACTGCTCTTGAATTCAGGGCTGTTACCATCTTTGAATAGGACAACAGGAAATTCAAATTGTAGGACGTTCAGTTGGAATACTTCGCCTGGCCCAAGTGTCCCAGAGAGCGTGGACCGCCCCCCTTCCTGCCCCTTCCAGCTCTTGATTTTATTACAGCGCAGGCTCTTGGCTAACACAACCTGGGCTGCCCTGGCCGTGCCCCATGAAGCCTCCTGCCCGAAGGAGAGGAAAGCGCTGTCCAGCACTCTAGGGTGAGAAACGCCTCTGTGTGAGCCTGTGACTGTGCCAGGCACCTGCGATGCCAGAATCAACAAAGAATCAGGAGGGAAATAAAAATGGCAGAGACGCAGTCAGCTCTGGGCTCTGACTGCACCCAGCCCTGTGCCGAGCTCCTCGCAGCCACTCCTCTCACTCGCTTCCCCCGTTATGAGGCCGAGACCCAACCCAGGCCCTCGGCTCCAGGGCTGCCCTTTTGCTTTCATAGCATCACTGGCCGCCGGGGCTGAGGGTGGTGTACTTAGCAGTCACCTAGAAACCCAGATGGGTCCAATTTTCATTGCTATGACAATGCTGCCCACATCTCCTTGGAAAAAGTACCTGCAGGGGTAGCCACATGCTGTGGGTTTTGTTTTTGGTTTGCGCTGGCGGCTTATATCTCCAACCATTTTTATTTTGAAATAGGGTCTTCTCAAGCACCAAGTTACCCAGGCTAGGCTCAATCATGTGATGCTCCCGCCTCAGCCTCCCAGCATGCTGAGATTACAGGCATGGGCTACCATGCCGGGTTGAAGGGCAACCACTTCAGCAAAGCACATACATGTTTTCTTAAAGTTTTTGTTTTAACCGCATACAGCCAAAGCTCTTTTTTTTTTTTTTTTCGGTACCAGGGATTGAACTCATGACCTCGCGCTTGCCAGGCAGGCGCTTATGCCACTGAGCTATATCCCCAGCCCCTCAGCCAAAGCTCTTTCTAGGAAAGTTGTACTAATCTGCAGACCAAGTGCTGCAATGGCTATCGCCCATGAGCACCCATCACCCCAGAGGCCACAGAGATGTTCACAGGCTGCCCCCCATGACGTGGTCTCTGAGGGGCCCCCAGCCGGGGTCAACTTGGAGCTGTGATTCTTCCTGGAATAAAGTTCAGTGCCACCAGGAGGCGCCAAACCTACATCTCATGTCAGCCTGCAGGTAGTGCTTTGGAGTTTATAGGGCTGCTTCTTTCCAGAAAGGCAATCCATTTAACAGCTGCCTGCAAAGCCAGGCAACTCAATGTAAAGGACAGCACAGCGGAAAAAAGCAAAAGGCACAAGTCTTTCTTTATCTCATGCAACTGCCAGCCCAGCAGTGCCTGGCAGAGTTCATCAACCCCTTCATTTCAACGCCCTGTGCTGATCTCAAGCTCCATGTAGAACCCACGCGCAGAAGGCCCGGTGCCCCCAGGATGCGTCCACGTCCCCCTGCAGTCCCACTGCCCTCTCACCTGCTGCTCGTGTATGAGAAACCTCTGGAAGTCCTGCAGGTAAACGGCAGAGCCATCTGGCCGGTCCGTGTTCCTGTGCATGAGGAAAGGGGACACGCATTAGGGGCACGTTCCACAGAGGGTTCCTGACCCCCAGAGCGCCCCCCGCTGCACAGGTACCACGAGCCCATGTGGGGACACAGATCTTGATCCACAAGGGTTCACAGGGCCCTCAAGCCCGAATCGGAGGTGGGGGTTTTCTGGTGGCCCTGGAGCTGTCAGAGGTCTGAGCAGCACCGCAGGAGCAGGCAGGGTTATGAAGGAAGAGCAACCAGGTAGAGACCAGGACAGCAAGAAGGGGTTCTGGGGAGTGGCCCGGGGGTCCCACCTCAGACCCAGAGGACCAGGAGGCATTCTGCAGAGGGGGAGTGCTTAATCCTGGAGAGTGACAGAGGCCCGCCAGCCAGGGAAGGGAAGAGCTGGGGGCAAAGGGAAAGGATGGAGGGCAGGAGGAGGAGGAAGGGGGGCGGGTGGAGGGAGAAGGAACGGGGAGGGGAGAGGCCTGGGCGGGGAGGGCAGGCTTGGCCGCAGCGCACAGCACAGGGCCCCACCCCGAGCCTGTTTCGCAGGAACTGAGCCCGGAGAAGCACGCGCCGGCATCTGCTGAGCCCTCTGAGAAGGGGGACATCGCTGCAGCATGCCAGACGCTGCCAGGGGCTCAGTGTCAAGAGACTCCTGTGCTCCAGCCGAGTGCTGCACCCAGAACGCAGGCCAGACCGCACTGAGGCCAGCAGCTGTGACAGACACCACCTGGAGAGGACTCTGCAGGATGCTAGGATCTCACTAGATCGGCATGAGGCACGCTGGTACCCAGGAGACACTCGTCCTGCAGGATGGAACTGCCTGGGATGGCACACTGCCCAGAGCACAGCAGAGGGTAGGGATGAGACCCTTGAAGGGTCTTCAGGAGGTAAAATGTGCCCACAGCTGTCTGCCTTTGCTAAACACGCAACCCCGCAGTCGGCTGTCTTCCTTCCAAATCCGTTTCCGCCCCCTCCCAACCAGCCTCTCATCTCACACCGGCCTTCTCATCCACATGCCCTGTGGGAGCAGACTCCTTTGCTATGGGCTGTGGGGTCCTGGGGGCTCTGCTCTGGAAGACGACAGCATGGTCTCTGTCTGTGTGCCACAGCCATGCTCTAGTTGCCACTACATGGCAAACGCATCTCCTGGTCAGACAAGCTTGGAAAACACAAGCACCTTATAATTCCCCTGCTTGGGGAATCTCAAAGCCTAGGAAAGGTCCTGAAAAGTCCTGCAGCACTGGCTCTAAAATATCATGAACCGCTTTGTCCATGAGCTGAGAACATGTGACATGCACCTCAGGAAGCACTGCAGACGCCCTGAAGCATGCTCATCCAGCTCAGCCTGCATAGCCAGGCATTTCCCAGACTCCTCTGCTCATTCTCACCACTGGTGCTTGGGAGAAACCTGTGAACTCCTCAAGTCCTGAGACGCACAGTCAGGAAGGAGGCCTTGAGGCCCAGAACCCTGACAACCTCCAGCACTCTGTTCCAGCACTCTGCTCTGGTGCTGCTGTCCTCAGCCCAGGCACAGGCTCAGGACCAAATCCCCATGGGGCCCTGACATGGCCCTGCCCAGAGGCCACTGGTCACAGGACATAGTCATCCTGACAGCAGCAGCCTGGAGGATCCTCACCCCAGGATGAATACAGAGGAATCCTTTTTGAATTCGTCAAGAATCTGGAATGGAAACACACACACAAAATAAGAATATTAGACAAGTTGAGTAAAGCCAGTGAAAAGATGTGCTTATCAAAAAATTATCAACATCATTCCATATTTACGTTAGCTGCAAATATTCAAATATAACAAACTTCTGGTATGATGGGTAGATGTCATCTTCCCCCTTTCCAGTCTTATTCCTGAGATGCAACCACTCTTAATTATTTCCTAGGTTCTTGCTAGAGTTTTGTTTGTTGACATTCACTTAACTATATCTTATCCTAGTTTATCATATCACATATATCTCTTTTTGCCTTTGTTCCCAGCTCTGCATATTACTCTGCAGCCTCAAACAGCCCTTCTTGCTATTTTGAAAAGCCATGTTGTGGGGAGAGTTCTGGGAAAATGGAGTGGTGAACAACAGCAACTCAGTCTCTGAGGTTTCAAATCCAGATACTAGAAAATAACAACTTGGGGAAGACAAAAAGAGAGAAGATCCTTGGGAACCAGAAGGATCTGACAGGAAAATTAAAACCTACAGAGAAACTGAAGAGGCAGAACACAACATGGAGAAAGGAAGACACAGCTGCACTTTCTCCCATGGCTTGTTGGGAAAAGGACATAAAGGCCACAGAGACACAGTCAAAGCTGGGGACTCCACAGAGCCTTAGAAACACAACTGTGCAACAGACCAGTGGGTGCTGTCATCTGCAAGGAGACCATGGGATTCTGCTCCCACATGAGTCCTATGACAGGCAACAGCTAGTGAATGGCTCTGGCCCAAGTGTCCACCATATCCCTGGAGACAATGCTCAGTCAGATGCTATTCCAGGGATAGGTTGTTTCAACACAGGACTCAGAGAAGCCATGCGGTAGCTTCACTTTAGGACTCCCAGTGTTACATTCCCACAGTGACTGGGTGAGAATCAGCCATGGGAAATAGTTCCAGTCAGGGCATGGGCTGGAAAGAGAGCCCCTGAAGGGTTTGAGCTAAAGGATACAGGCCCCACTCCCAAAGCCAGGTCCAGCCTGAGTCACTCTAGATTTGAAAGTTTTGGCATTGGCATTCTCACCCTAAACCTACTGTCTGCTGGTGCCTGCATCCACAGGGACCTGGGGTCTGACTGCCTTCTTTATCTACCAGCATGAGCAGAGACATGTCCTGAGTTGGAAAATGCCCCAGAATTGTAGATCCTGGAAGAAAACCACATATTCAAAAATTACAGAGAAATTTCTTTTTGTGTATGTATCTGTTTTTTATTTGTTCTTCTTTTTCTTTTTCTTTCTTCTTCCTTTTTTACTTTTTTATTTTTTCCTCTTGTCCCTTTTCTTCCTTTTGATGTTTTCTCTCTTGTTTTGCCTCACCATACAATTTCTTTTTTCTCTCTCTTTTATCTTGTGCATCAGTCTTTTTCTGTTGCCTTTACCTAATTCTATAAATGTCCTTCTACTCCCCAATAGGATCCTTTGGACCACTTCTTTCTTCTCTTTCTCATAGCATATAGTTTAAGATTTCAAATTTTTCCTCTTGCAGCCCCCTGTCCTAAGCCCCTACATCTTTAATAGTATAACCATAAAGCTTTATTAATCCTTAGATAGCTACTCTATACCATTATAGTTGAATTCTTTTCGACCACTAGCAGAGACATAGCTGTTGCATTTAGGACATATTAGCTGTAAGTCAATATCTGGGCTGTCTTGGTATGATATGGTACAGTATGCTATGGGATGGTATGTTTACACTATAATTGTGGATTTCTTCTGAAGGGTGGTACATGATCAGTTCTTATAGTATGTTAATATCCCATTTGTCTTGGATGATACTACTGTAGCTGATTTGTTTGATATTACCAAGGTCACATAATTGTTGATATTAATGGGCTTTCTCTGTAAGCACACACTCAGATTACCTTTGAGTCATTAATGTTACTAGAGTACATTCCCAGAGAACATGGTGTTGGGACAATTACACTGCATCTTCCCCTCTCAAATTAAACAAGGAGGTCAGATCTTGGGGCTGAGACATGGAACTATGATTAGCTGTGCCCAAAATATATCACTGAAAAGTGATTAAAGAGATCTTTATACTAGCAAGAAAATCTTTACATTATAAGCACCCACAAACCTCAGCACAAAGCAAAACAAACAAATAAACAAACAAAAACAATAGAAACATAAGACAAGGCAACAAAATGGCTCCCCAAACTCCCAACTCTCCAGAAGCCAACCCAGGGAGCACCAAGAGAGAGAATAACATAAACCATGCATGAAAATTAGTCAAAAGGATAACAGAAGATGTTAGAAAACAGATCAAAGAAGTATTCAATGGGATCATGGAAGATATAACTAAACAGATAATAGATGTAATAACCAAAATGACCCAGGAGCTTTCAGAAGACACTAGTAAAAAGCTAGCTGAGCTAACTAAAATAATACAAAAAATACATGCCCTGTTTAACAAATAGAGTCCCTGAAAAAGTTTTAATGAGAAATTAAGGTGATTTAAAATTATATTTAAAGTTGGGCAGCAGAAGTGACCAGTGTGAGGGCAGGATTTCAGAAATAGAAGATAATGATGCCTTCAAATACCAATTACTCAAAAGACACCTTAAAAGCAACAAGAGAACATGAAAAATGGATGAAAAAGCTGCTAAATGATGCAAGGGCTAATCTAAGAGTAACTGGGATAAGTGAAAAATCAGAAGACAACATAAATGGCATTTTAAAAAAACTCTTCACAGAAATGATGGTACAAAACTTCCCAAATATGGAGAAAGAAGTAAACATATAGATAAGCGAGGCATGCAGAACCCCAAATACTAACGAACAAATGAGGACCTCTCCACGCCACATAACACTCAAAGTACTAGAAATCCATTACAGAGACAAAGTCTTAAAAGCTTTTAGAGAAAGGCAATGAATCACACATGAAAGTCAACCCATTAGAATTATACCAGACTTCTTAGCACAAACCCTAAAAGACAGGAGGGCTTGGAGTGAAGTGTTTTAACCCCTAAAAGATAACTCCTTCTGACCCTGATTTGTATCCTACAAAACTTTTCTTCAAAACTAATGGAGAAATAAAGTTTTTGCATGACAATGAGCACCTCAAGAAATTCACAATCACCAAACCAGCATTACAAAAAATTCTCAAGGATATCCTAGAGAGGAAATGAAGCCAACAATGTCAATAAGTCAAAACAGAATGAATATAGCCAGGCATGGTGGCACACACCTATAGTCCCAGCACTCGGGAGGCTGAGGCAGGAGGATCATTGTGAGTTGGAGACCAGCCTGTGCTACAAAGTGACCTCAAGGTCAGCCTGAAATGCATAGTAAGACCCTGTCTCAAAAAGACAAAAAAAAAAAAAGAACAAATACACCTGGCAAGATGAGTGGCTAAAGGGAAAAAGTTAAGGAAGTCAGCAACAGGAAAATAATGCAATGACAGGAATAACTCAGTACTTCTCAGTAATAGCTCTCAATGTGAATGGTCTCAATTCCCCAACTAAAAGGCACAGCTCAACAGAATGGATCAAGAAACAAAATGCAATGATATGCAATATCGAGGAACACATTTAATTCAAAAAGACTGAAAACTAAAGGGTGGAAAATAATATTTCATACAGTAGGAACCAAGAAAAAACCAAGAATAGCAATCCTAATTTGAGACAGTGGACTTCAAGCGAAGCTGATCAGAAGAGACAAAGAAGTCACTACATACTTGTTAAGGGAACAATGCAACAGGAAAAGATAATAATTATAAACATATATGAACTAAATATTGGTGTGCCCAGTTTCATAAAATAAACACTAATGCACTTGAAATGTCAGATAAACACCAATACAGTTGTAATGGGGGACCTCAATACCCCATTGTCACAAATAGATCAACTAGACAAAAAAAATCAACAAAGTAATACTACAGTTGAACAAAACCTTCAAATAAATAGACAGAACAGATATCTACAGAGTATTCTACTGAACAGCAGAATACACACTCTTCCCAGCAACACAACATTTCTCCAAAATACAACACATAGTAGCCCATAAAGCATGCTTAAGTAAATGCAAAAGAATCAAAATTATCCCATGCACATTATCAAATCATACTGCAATGAAACTCGAAACCAATGTCAAAAGAAATGACAGAAACTATGCAAACACACGGATATTAAACAAAGCCCTCGTGAATAATCAATCAGTGGGTCACGGATGAAATTAAGGATGAAATTAGACTTCCCACAACCAAATAATAATGTCAGTACAACATACTGGAACCTATAAGACACAATGTCTACATCAAAAAAAATAGAATGAGTTCATATAAATAACCTCAAGGTTCTAGGAAAACAAGAAAAATCCAAATCCAAAGCTACAACAAGGTCAGAAATTGTAAAGATCAGTGCAGAAATTGATGAAATTGAGACAAAAAATACAAAGAATCAATAAATTGGAGTTGCTTCTCTGAAAGAATAAACAAAATAGACAAATACTTAGCCAATCTTATCAAAACAAGAGAAAAGATTCTAATCCATGCAATTAGAAATGGAAAAGGCAAAATCACATAGATTCTGTTGAAATCCAGAAGATCCAATATTGGTAACTACTGGGAGAAACTGTATACTAATAAAATAGGAAAATCAGAAGAAATGGATAGATTCCTAGATATATATGAACTATCAGAGCTCGACCAAGAAGATATAAAAACCCTGAAGAATCTAGTATGAGTCAATGAAATTGAAGAAGTAATAACAAAATTACCAACTGAGGAAAGTTCAGTTCCCAACAGATTCACTTTGAATTCTACAAGAACTTTAGAGAAGATCTAACATCAGTACTCTTCAAACTCTTTAATGGAATTGAAAGGGAAGCAGTACTCCTAAAGTTATTCCTGGAAGCAAGCATTACCCTGACTCCAAAACCAGAAAAGAGAAAAGAACTATGATTAAAAAAGAACTCTAGGCCAATCTCTTTAATGAACACAGATGCAAAAATCCTCAATAAGATATTGGCAAACCAAATGCAGCAAATCATTAAAAAAATCATACATCATGACCAAGTAGGATTCATTCCAAGGATGCAGGGATGGTTCAACATATTCAGATCAATAAATGTAATTTACCACATAAATAGAAGCAAAGACAAAATCACATGATTAGCTTCATAGATGCAGAAAAAGCATTTTACAAAATCCAACATCCATTCATGATTTTTAAAAAACCTAGAGAAAATGGTTATAGACAGTCTTTATCTCAATCTGATAAAAGCAATCTATGACAAACCAATAGTCAGCATAATGTTGAATGGACAGAAGCTGAAAGCTTTCCCTTTAAAATGAGGAACAAGGCAAAGATGTCTACTATCATCACTCCTGTTTAACACAGTTCTTGAAACATTAAGCAGAGCAATTAGGCAAGAGAAGGAAATAAAAGGGATATAGATAGGAAAGGAAAAAGTCAAATTATCATTATTTGCAAATGACAGGATTCGCTACACAGAAGACCCCCCAAAAACTCCACTGAAAGATTCCTAGAAATAATAAGCAAACTTACTAGCATACCAGGATTCAAAATCAAGTGTTCCTATACACCAACAATAAACTCACCTTTCATAATAACACTGAGAAAAATGAAATACTTAGGAATTAACCTAACCAAGGAAGTAAAAGATGTCTACAATGAAAATTGCAGTACTTTGTAAAAGGAGATTGAAGAAGATCCCTGTTCCTGGATAGGCAATACCAATATAGTTAAAATGGCCATACTTCCAAAACTGATACACACATTTAATGTAATCCCAATCAAAATACCAATAGCATACCTCACAGAACTAAAGAAAATATTCCTGAAATTCATATGGAACCAGAAGACACCTAGAGTAGCAAACACAATTCTGGGCAACAAGGAAAAGATAGGAGGCACTGAAGTTATATTACAAAGCTACAGTGATAAGAACAGCATGTACTGTAAAACAAAAAAACAAAAAAAACCAGACTTGTGAATCAATGGAATAGAACAGAGGATGTAGAAACAACTCCAGCCACACTCAGCTATCTTATCTTTGACAAAGGGGCCAAATATGTTTTCACTTAAAGAAAGATAGCCTCTTCAACAAATGATGCTGGGAAAACTGGATACCCACATGCCAAAAATTGAACCTAGATTCGTATTTCTTGGCATATATTAATCTAACATTAAAATGGATCAAAGATCTAAATATTAAAACAGAAACAATCTGCTGGAAGACAAAATAAATAAAACTCTTCAAGGTATAGGGATCAGCAAAGACTTTCTGAACAGAACACTGGTTCCACAAGAAATAATACCAAGAATAAACGAATAGGGTGACATCAAATTAAAAAACTTTTGCACAGCAAAAGAGACCAATGACAAAGTGAAGAGACAACCTACAGAATGGGAAAAAAAAATTGCCAGCTATTCCTCAAGGGATTAATATCTAGAACATATAAGAAGTTCCCAAAATTAGACGCCCCCTCCTCAAATTTAAAGACCCAATAAAAATGGGATTCTGAAATAGACACTTCTCAGATGAAGAAGTGCAAATTGCCAATACATACAAAAAAAGTTTTAACATTGCCTGCCACTTGAGAAATGCAAATTAAAACAACACTGAGGTTCCACCTCACTCCAGAAAGAACAGCTCTTTTTAAGAAATAGTAAATGCTGGAGGGGCTATGGGAGGGTGGGGGAGGAACCCTTTCTCATTGTTGATAGAAGTGTAAACCAATACAACCACTATGGAAATCAGTATGGAGATTCCTCCAAAAAACTAAAAATAGAAATTCTATGTGATCCAGTTATTCTCCTTCTAAGACTCTTCCACAAGGAGTTAAAGACATCACATCACAGTGATGTATCCATACACATGTTTACAGCAACACAATTCATGATAGCTAAATCTTGGAAGCAGCCTGTCTTAGTTACTTTTCTCATTGCTGAGACAAAATACTCAACACCCAAAGTTAAAGGGGGAAAGGTTTATTTAGCTCATAGTCTGTAGAGGTTTCAGTCCATAATCAGCTGGCTCCAAGGCAAGGTGGCACATGGCACAGAGGCTACAGTTCAGGAAGACAGCAAAAGCAACAAGCAAGGAGAGAGAGAGGGACCAAGCTTCTTTCTGTCCCTTATATGCAGAATACTCGCCTTCGAGCAGGTGTAGCACTCACACCCTTAATTTCAGCACCCTTAATCCCAGCATTGCACTATCAATCAATCACCCACTCTAAATTCAGCTGTCACTAAAAAAGCCCCATCTAAACTGCATGAGGCTTTGAGAGGACATCTAGACACAAACCATAACACAGCCTATACGTCCATCAACAGATGAATAAATAAAACATGGTATTTACACACAATGGAGTACTACTCTGCTGTAAAGAAGGAAAAACTTGACTCATTTTTAGGAAAAATGGATGCACCCTGAGGCCATAATGTTAATGAAGACATACAAGCTTGAATATTGCATGATTTCTCTTATATGAGAAACCCAATATATCAATAAAATGCACAGTAAAAGGCAGATGTAGGGGAAAAAAAGAGAAATGTTATTGTAATTCAGCATGGACAATTTGTCTGAACGTGTATTTTGATTTTAGTATAATTGTCTTATGTGTTCTTTATGATTTTTGGACTGTTAGTCTGCCTGTTAATCTGTACTTGTCATAATAAACTTGGTAAGAACTTATAAAATAAATAATCTGATAAGGGTAGAGAAAAAAGGGGCAAAATAATTGAAATGTTATGTACATGTATCAACTTGCCACAAGGAATGTAATATGTACTGCAAACACAAACTGATGAAAATAAAGCCATGTAGACAATGCAAATTAGTGGATAGAGCTGGGGCTACCAAGAGTGTGCACTTCTATCTACAAGACTTCACCAGGGAAACACAGGCTCATTTATAGACAGATTTCAGTTTTCTTTAGTAGAAGCCAAAAGTCTGGATTTTAATATACAGTCTCCTAAGTTTTAAATGTAGACTGTTAATTCTGAAAATATTTAAACCATTGGACCAGCCAAGAATAGCCAGATATGGGCACAATGTTACACTCTGGCCACTAGGGGGCAACCATGGATATGGCTGTATTTTTCCCATACAAAGTTTCAGAGTACTGCAAAACTCATTCCCGCCGCCGTCCCACACACACACTCACACACTTCTAAGAGAGGTACAATATAAAGTACAGAGTGAAATACATCTTAGGCCAGTCTGAAATCCACCTTCAGGTCAAAATATGTGCGTCTTAATTTCAAAATAGTCTCTCCTGTGAATCAAAAATGTCTTCATAAAAATATAAACATTATAAAAAGCAAAAACACAAAATCTCTCAATTTGGGGATGGCTACTAGAAATAATCTGCTAAACGTCCTTCCAGAATGAGATAATATAGAAGAGTTGGTAGCACCTTTTTACTTTCATAGATTTAGATTAAGTTCTGGTTAAACCTATGGCCATTCCCATTCCCATGAGGGAGAGAGGCAAACACCTTTCCCCGACATTTCCCCAACAGCTCTGCGATGGTTAAAACCTTTTGCACTGCTAATAAGTGGAAACGGCATGTTACTGGCATTCTCCTCTCGTGTTTGTTGACTGAAGGAGATTACACATTTCTTGGGGTTTCTCAAATATACAGCAGACTGCAATATGAGGAAAACAAAACATCATTTGAATCCTCTTACCAGTTTTTGCTGCTCAAACATGAGTTTTTTATAGAAGAGATGAAACTGTTCAAAGCTGAGCTCGTCTTTGTGTGCGCCAATTTCCTGTAAATATATATTATTAAAAAAAAAGACCACATACTGCTGGAAGTCCACCATGAGACTGCCTCCGGCCAATTTACGGAAATAGAATGGCTGTTCTGTAACTCTGCTAAAATCAAACTTGCATTCCTCCGAAGCTGACCTTCTCACAAGTTTCCTAACTCACCTGTCTGGGAGACCACCCAGGGACCCCACCCTTGAGCCCCAAGAGGGAAAAATCTTCACTTCCAAAAGTCATAAGGGACATCTCCTTTTTTGGGAAGGAGACACTGTCTTCAGATTTCTATATCCAGGTGTATTTATAAGGTATGTACTTAAAAATTATTTTTAAAGCAAAATTAAAAAAAAAAAAAAAACCCTGACAATTAGCATTCAGAATCTCAGCTAGAATCAACTGTGTTAGGCAATTCACCCTTTTGGACCCGCAGTTTCTTCATCTGTAAAATAGGAAGACCATGACTACCTTCTTAGGGCTTTTTTGAAACCAAACAAGATAATATCTACAAAATTCCTGACTCCGAAATGCTTAATAAAGATAAAAATATTCCCGTTACATGACAATCAATGGAAATCCCTGTCCCATCTTTCTTTTCTTCTTAAGTGCCTCCCGTCTCTTTCCCATGGGAATTAGCGGGGACGGTTGGGGGTGGGCAGGGTAAAGAATGGCCTGGCAAGCAGTGAAATGGGCCACCTCTCTCAGGAACTCACTACCACAGAAAGAAATGACCTTCTCCAGCAGAGGCAAGAGGGCTGGCACGGACACTGGAGCTCCTGGGGTCAGGGTTTCATTCTCTGATAAGAGTCATTATCGGTGTGGGGTGTGCTTGATCATCACCTCCATCCATCCCTGCCTCCTCCAGAAAAGGTCCACCTACCCCTCCGTACCCTCTGCTCCTGGAGCAGCTTCCCTGCCATGCTCTACCAACAGCCTGACTCCATAAGAACATCCACAGATTCCTCGATGTGTGGGAAGACAGGTAGAGAAGAGGAAGGCGAGAGCCGACCCGGACGAGCACCCTACCAGGACTTGCACCCGGAGTACCTCCACCCTACAGAAGGCATCTTTCACAATGTTTTGCTAAAGATACACATGCTCACGCTTCTAGGAAGAAAGCAGGCCGGGGGAAGGCTGGGGAACCATGAGAGATGGCCTGGGCAAAACCGGTCTGAGGATAAATGTTCCAAGTCGAACAGCCCAGCAAACACAAAACTGTGTCCTCTGCAAGGACTGGGAACACGGTCTTCACATGCACACAGCCTCACCAGCGGAACGGGACAGACACATTCTGGACACAAAGGAGCCTCAGGTACCATTCCATAGAGCTCCAAGGCCACCATGGCTTCCAGGGAGAGCTGCTAAGTAGCCCTGAGATCATAAAATGCCCAGGCAGAGGTACAAAACTTACCACGAACTTGTCTTTGAGGAACTTGGCACTGCTCACTTTGAAGTTGACCAGGGGTAAGATGGCCTTTAACTCTCGGAGGCTGATGCTGTAAAAGAGAAAAACCCATCTCCATCAATCTCAGGGGTCCAGTAGTGCAGGGTACAGCCAGTGCCATGGGCTTCCACGCAGTGTCCTTCCAGGAAAACACCTGGCTGACAGTTGTTCACTGAGCACCAACCAAGATCAAAACACTCAGGGTTCAAGGTGGAAGGCGAGACGGGACAGAGGGCCCAGGGCTCCCCAAGAGCTACTTTTGCTTCCACAGTTGCCCAAACACCTATAGCTCACCCAGCCATATCAGGTGCCCCACAATGACTCCAGGAGTATTTGCTCTAGCTGTGGCAGGCTTCGGCCCCAGACCCCTCCCAGACCACTGCCTTCTGCAGAGTCTCTGTATGATTTCCTGCCTCTGCAACCCTCAACTAGGTCCACAAGGGGGTCCTCCTCTACCCATGAGCACACAGGACATCTGACTCTGCCTGTGCAGGATCCCACCCTTTTTTTCCTATGTAAGTAATCTCCTTTCCCTTAGCAGCTTTACCCCATGGGCTATTCCTCCCTACCCTGCAGCCTGAATCCTAACAAGGCCTCTTCCAAATGTTCCTACCTATTCCTGATTTCTATCTCAAGTAGAACAGACTGAGCTGATACACTAAGAGCTGCTAACACCTAAGCCCCTGGCACCAGAAGTGGCCGATAGCCAAGCTGGTCACACAGAAGGCAGCTAACAGTCAGAGAATGACAGACGACAATGAAAATTGCTGGAAGCCACCACTTCCCGTGGCTGGAAGATGCCCCAAGACTTGCTGGCAGCTGCTGCCTCTAAGTTGCAAGGAAGCCACTAATGCTAAAGAAGCCAATAGGTGCTAATAGGTGCTAATAGGCACCCAAAGTTCAGAGCAGTTAACACTAAAAGAACTACACTTTTCCAGCTTATGATTTCTATACAAATTGAGCAAGAACCCATTGGTAACGTCTCAGAAGCCTGTCCAAGGACCCTCCCCTTTACGGGTCCAGAAGAAGAAAGAAGACTACACTGATGGTCACCAGCAGGCTCAAGAGCCAACCCATGTTTGATTTCCATCTTACATGCAGCTAAGAAGCCATACCAGCCAGGGATAAGGGGACATCCTCATAATTGAGGCTGGCCATGGAAGCAGGTCCTATGGCAGGTCCAGTGTAGGCAGAACAGTGTCAGGTGTCAGAGACCTCAGAAAACACACACAGATGTCACCAGAGAGGGACACAGAAAGGAGCAGACAGCACCCAGCCCCTGCTGTGTGCCACACTGCCCTGGGTGTGGTCCAGGGCCTAACGCTGTCCCATGCTCACCACATCCTACCCCCACAGCACAGGTTACTGGCCCCAGGCTTCAGAACAGGTGGGTCATGCACACAGCCTCTGGGGCAGCAGCAAAGCTGGGTTGGAATCAAATTCCAAAACAGTCATCCAGCCAGAAGGGCTGGACACCGAAAGCTCAATGAGCTGGTCCCAAATTCAGTTTAAGAGGGCAAGTGTGGTTCCCAGGAAAACGGACGAGGAGCTATAATAATGACAACTGTAACCACAGCTGAAGCTGCCTGGTGCCCATCAGGTGCAGGACGTTGTTCTAGGAGCTTTTCATGCATCTCTCTGGTTTAAAATTTCATGAGACCATGCCATTATTATCTCCATTTCCCACTGAGGAAACTGAGGTGCAGAAAGGCTTGGTGCCTGGCCAATGCTAGACCCAGAATCCAGCCCAGAATGCCCACAACCCCTCCAGTGGGCCGCCCCAGGCTGTGGCACACACCACAAAGATAGAGAGGTCAGGATGGTAGGATGGTTGTGGGCATGAGATCCAGACAGCTCTGCCCACAGCCAAGCAGCTGGCAGACCGGAGAGCAGTATGGTCAAGAAAAGAAGCTGCCCCAGGTAAGGGCAGAAAATGGCCCAGCATCCCCAACACCATCAACCTGGCTTTTGCTGTCATCTTCTGAAAGAAGCAGCATGTACCACCTACTGGCTCTTTCTGGAGAAGACCCAGCAGACGCAGGCCGGCCCAGGGGCCCACCTCCTGCCTTCTCCTCGTTCTGGTGGCCGGCTGAACATCAGAGCCCTTGACCTGCAAGGTGCTTCCTGCCTCACCCATTGCAGGGCCGCACCCTCGGCTTCCTAAGGACAAAAAGGTCCTAGAGTGCAGGGGCCAGGCGAAAAGCCAGCAGGCGGGGGAGCTGCCTCTGATGGTTGGAACCCCCTTCCAGCCCAGCTGTGGGTGGCTGCCGGGCCAGGGAGAGCTCCGTCCAAGGCAGGATGAAGATCCAGGAGCAGTGGGCCACAGCTGTGCGAAGTGGCAGGAAAAGGCCTGGGCTGGGCTGGGCACAAGCAAGAAGTCAAAGCAGACTTCCCTCATAGAGCAACAGAACGTGTGGGCCGGACAGCCAGGGCAGCTGCTTGGGGACTAGCAGGGCAGACCCAGGACCACAGCTCAGGATGCTGAGTACCTGGAACACCCACGCTCACCTGACCACAAGTCCCACCTCACACCATCAAAGCCACAGGCCAGACAGCTTCTTTGGATTCCTAGTGCTGCAACCCCACCCCCAGACTACTGCCTGAGTCCCCTCCTCATGCCCAGCCCCGGGGGTAGGACCTGGGGCCAGTGCAGAATGCCGACTTCCCATAGCTGGAGCAGAGGAAGCAAGCGGCTCTCAGCACCGCCTCGCTCCGGGACTCCTCATGACAGACTGCCAAGCCCAAGGTCACAACCCCTGCCAAGGGCAGCCAGCATCCAATGAAGACAGAGATCGCCATGGGCACAAAGGGCAGGGGCACATCTGTGCCCTTTACCTGTTGTGCAATAAAAACATGATTTGTGTTTTCCTCTGAGGCAGTCGGGCCTTAAAAGCTGCTTTTAATTCTTTAAAAAAAACGGTGATTCTTTACTTGGCCTGTGGATGGGGGATAACTAAACACAGAGCACAACCTGGCCTTCGTTTCAAGTCTGTCTCCTTTATTACCTGACAACTTTGGGTCAGATCCCCCCTCAGCTCTGCAGAGGCAGGTTAATTATTCAAGGAGTGTCTGTCACCAAGCTGGTGACACAGGTTGATTAGCCCTAAATTTACATAACCTACCCTCCTCCAAGACTGAGGGCAGCATTCAATTACTAATGAGCACCAAGATCCGGTCGTTGTCCTAAGCCACGGTCACCTTGGATTCCAGCACAGCCTCCGTAAGACTGTACCCTGCAAAAACAAGCACCTCATGGAGACCAGATTGCTCCTCGAGCCACAGGCCTTCTCCAGAGCCGCGTGGCACTACCGGAACTGAGATAATGATCAACCAGGCCCTGACCTACCCCAGCCCCTCCGTACAGCCTGGCCTTGTTCCTTTGTGCACAAGCGGGCCAGTCTGACCATCTCCATCAGAGCTGGGCCCCCTTTTGCTCCTCAGGCTGAGTTCTCCTCCTCTGTTGGCTTACTTTCTGACTCTGCTGAAGAAGCACACCTATGCCCCCCACTGCCACATCCAGAAATGCTGCTCTTCTAAGACATCTAGAATCTGCCCAGGCCAAATTAAGGTCTCCACCTCGCTTTACGGGGACCTCCATGGATCCTGCCTGGTGACACAGTGACAGGTCCATGCATGGGATATGGCGCACAGAGCTGACCTCCAACACACTCCCCAGCATAAGCTCCTTGCACACAGTCAACTCAGATCACCCTATCTCCTGGAGTGCCAGGGCAACCTGAAACCAGGGCAATCCCCTTAGGGAAGGAGGGCAAAAATTTCCCCCAAGGCACCACAAACAGTCCCACCCTCTTCCATGGCAGACATCACTAAACAATCAAGATGCGCTTCCCCCTTCACCGCCTGCTCACTTCCCATTCCATGGCAGGTATTACTAAACAATCATGATGTGCTCTCCTCCAGAGTCTGGCCACTTCCCAGAACCCTTCACACTGCACCTAGGCAGCAATTAATTACCAAAGGAGCCACGCCGGCAGCTCCTGAAGCTTACCTGCCACCCTGACCCAAGACAAACCCCTCCACCACCCCACCTGTTTCTATTAGTGCCAATAATAAGTATTTAACGTTGAATGTTTGCTACAAGCCAGGTGCTGTCCATACACTTTTTCATATTAACTCACTGAATTCTCACAACCAACCTGGGTATGAGGTAAGGACTCTTCTTATCTCTCTCGTACAGAGGAAGAAACCGAGGCACAGCAAAATGAAATCATCTGTCCCAGTTCACAAGACCAGTAAGTGTGAGATCTGAGATTCAAGCCTTAGCACTGCCAATATGCTGGAAAGGTTCTATACCCATGCTTCCATGGGGCACGTGAGGCTACTGTGACAGAGGAACTGATTTGTGAATTTTATTTAATTTTCACCAACATAGTATAGCCACATGTGCTCAGTGCCTCCTGTACTGCACAGGGTAGCTGTAGGGTCCTGATTCTCTACGTAGTTTCTGGACCAACAGCAGCAGCTACGTCACTCAGGGATTCGTTAAAATGCAAATTCTTCAAAATGCAAATTCTTCAGCCCCAGCCCAGAACCACTAAATCAGACACCAGGGAGACGGAGCCTGCACCCTGTGTTTTAACACACCCTCTGGAGTCTTGGACACACACTCAAGTTTCAAAATCCCTCTAGAGAGCCCTGTGTCTCCACTCAGGATTCATAGTAAACATTTTCTCTCAGATTGCCCACAGCCGAGGCCACATCCAGGACTAGGAATGCGCAGAGCTGGGACTAACCCCCCCCACACACGCACACACCAGGTGACTCTATTGTGCTGGAGCCTCAACTATTAACCACATGAAACCTATTTGCATTCAAGGACATAAATGGACCCACACCTGGCTCCCCCTGCAAGCTCCTGCCACCCTTGCTTGAGGCCCAACCCAGGCTCCTCTCTGGCCCTGCAGGGCTGGAGGAGAGAGGAAGTGTGTCTTGCTCGTGCAACTTCAATGGCACATGCCTTGCGATGACAGGAGAGAAGGACCCGGGTTCCCCAAGAGGCATTTTTAATTTTTCTGCCACAGGTGCCCCAAATGCCTTGCAGCCAGGACAGCTATACCAGGTGCCCCAGAGCTGCAACAAGCCTCAAATATGGACCTATCCAGATGAGTCCAGCCTCTCTTACTGTAGTCCTCATCAATTAAGTCTGTGAGGGGAGCCTCCTCTGCCTGTGAACCCAAGTCTGACACTGCCCATGTGTGAGTCTACCCTTTCTCCTATGTAAGCAACCTCCTCGTACCCTTAGCAGGTTCAGCCTATGAGCTGTTCCTCCTTATGCTGCATCTGATGTGCTCACAAAGCCTATTCTAGATGGCATATTTGTGATTTTTATCTTGGGTAGACCATGCTGAGCCGGTACAGAAGAGCTGGTAACACCCAGGTCCACTGGTCCCATGAGCAGCTAGCAGCTGGAGCCAGTAACACTGAAGGTGGCTAGCAGCAGAGAACAATGGAGAGGAATGGAGAATTCCTGAGAGCCACCAGAAGTCCCCAAGGCCAGCAGCTGCTGGCTCTGAGAGGCAAAGAGGGTCCCTGACACTGAAAGCTGACAGCCAGTGGCATCTGAAGCCTAGGGCTATTAATGCTGGAAGAGCTATAGTTGGCCAGTTCATGATTTCTATCTGAATTGAGCAAGAACCCCCGGCTAACGGGCTACATGTCAGAAGCCAGCACAGGGACTTGGGGCACTTTAGCGGTGCTGAAGAAGAGGACGGACAACAGTGACACTGGTGTCTCAAGAGGGGCCCATGTCTAATCTTCATCTCACATCAGGCTAAGAAGCTATGCAGTGATGGGGCCGTGAGGACAGAGGAGGGAATGAAAACACGTATTGTGAGGACGAGGGGAGACCCTGTGCACTGCTGGGGGACACTGAAGGGCACTGCCACTGTGGACAGCAGCCCAGCAGATCCTCAGGACACGAAGAACCGGCTGATTCCAGAAACTCCACAGAGAACTGAAAGCAGAGAATCAAACAGACATCTGCGCCATGGCGTCCATGGCAGAGTTATTCATGGTAACTGAAAGGAGGAAGTCCTTCGGGGGATGGACGGATAAACACGTGCTGGGTGCATGCAGTGCTGTGAGTTCAAAGACGGGAGGAAGTTCTAACACACACTAGAGCAGGGATGAACTTAAAGGCATCACACTCAGAGTGCAGATTTCCTTCCCCTGACATGAGGTACCTAAAATAATCAAGTTCAAAAAGATAGAGAATGCTGGCTTCTAATGGGAAGGGGCTACAAGCTGACCACAAAGCGTCTCACTTTGGAAGATGAGCAAGTTCTGGAGATGCTCGGTGGTGAGTGCACTTCATGCTGCAGCACTGCACCCCAAGCTACGGCTACAGGGTGCTCGGTTACACGTATTTTACCATGAAATTTTTAAACTTACGAATGAATATTTTGTGGGTGTGAGCAAGGAGAGATTTCTGCATTTCTGTCACTTTCTTTGTATTTTAACCTTTGGAGATTACATTGGCAAAAACAAAATGAAAGGTGCTCTTCTCTCCTACGTCTTTAAAAAATAAAAAAATCAGTTTTGGCAAAATAAAATGTATTTGCATCAACAACATCAACTACTTTTCGCTTCTCTAGCAGTATATGCCTAAGTCCCTATTCCTTTTTAATATTTCCCTGACATTCAGGTATCCCTAGCTTTCAATAGCAGAGTTTAATTTGAAAACTAAATAAATCAAGCCTTGATAATGAGCCTAAAACTCTGGTGCCACCCCTATCAAGCTGGGCTGCTTTCCATGAATGACTGAACTCCGGGCCTCGCTGTGCTCACTTAGAAAATGGGTGCCTGGCACAGCAGTTGGTCTAGAGCATCTGCGAGATTGTGGGGAGTGTAGGACGGGGGTGCTGCCACGCCAGTTTTCCACCAACGCCAGCTGCTACTTTTCTGCCCCAGGAGAAGCTGAGCAAGGAAGCGGGGCTGGACCCAGCAGAGCCCCTGGGACCTGGCCATCCACTGGGCCGGCGTGGCACCTGCTTCCCTCGGCGACAGCCCTCCCTCCTCCGGCCCCCAGGCTTCCCCTCAGGAAACATGATTAGTCAACTGCTGTGGGCGACAGGAAAGGGAGGGAAACAGGTGGGGCTGACGTGCGTTGCTCTTTCACAGGCGCCTCGGTCAAAGCTCCTTTTGAGAAACCCTCTCTGGGAAGACATGGGATTTTCCATGTGTTGATGGAGCAGCAGGGCTTGGGAACTGGGAGGGAGGGGGACGGGGGCAGAGCACACAGCTGGCCAGGGACCACGTCAGGATAGGGTGTCCTCCCTGCTGAGGCCCCAGACCGGCCAGCAGGAAGGTGACCTACGCAGGACTTGAAGGGTCCGCCCTGGGTGAGAGGAAGGCTGCCACGTGTTCCCCACACACAAGCGCAGAGCCAAGTTAATGACCTGGTCACCCTGTGCCCATCTGCCAAGGTGAACCACGTAAGCCGCAGAGCAGGAAGGCACTCCTGGCAGCTGCCCTTCTCGGCTCAAAGAGGCAGCGTGGACAGACCCTGCCACCCGGGGACCACCCTGAGCCACCTCCCAACGCGAGAGGGCAGCCAGGGGCCAGATACCAGGAACGCGGGCGCATTCGGGAAAGAGGAGAGAGACGCACAATGGGACGATGGCTCCTGACATGGCTATAAGCACCCTGTGGTTAACTGTCCCCCCAGCCAGGGGCCATACACAAGCCTGACATCAACAGGGACAGGCGATGCGCAGACCCAAAGTCTCCTTGGAGAGGGAGACTCACCGGAACAAAAGCGGATGACGTGGACATATCGCTCAATAAGCGATAGCTTCTGTCGCGTCGTTATTAATAACGACAGGACCATGACTTCCAAAAGGAGAGAGACGGAGGACAGGGAGGTCAACCTCACCCACAGAGAAAGAAACGCAGATGTAAGCGCAGTCACACCGCTGTCTTTCATCCACCCGATTATCAACCGCTGAGGGCTGAAGAGGCGAGGGTGGGGAGCGGCCCTGCTGTGACACGGGGATGTCTACAGCTCCAGCCATCACAGCACCAGCACCGCCAGCAGCCACATCCCGATTCACCAGCCTCACGACCCCGCACAGCCTGCACAAAGGCAGCCGCCAAGGGCTCACAGCAGCGCTGCTCACACCACACAGGGACCCGCTCTGCGTCCAGCAGTGAGGAAATGACTTCTAGGAGTACACTGGGTCCATCTCTCCCAAGGGAAAACCTGAACCACATGTTTGTTAAAGAAAACAGGGCCAGATGTGGTGGCACACGCCTGTATTCCCAGCCGTGTGGGAGGCTGAGGCAGGAGGATTGCAGGCTCAAGCCACTCTGGGCAACTTAGTGACTTAATGAGACTCTTGTCTCAGAAAATAAAAATAAAAAGGGCGGAGGATGTAGCTCAGTGGGAAGGCCCTGGGTTCAGTCCCCAAGACGGAGGAGGAGGAAGAGGAAGAGAAAGAGGAGGAAAGGGAGGAAGGAGGGAAATGGAGGGAAGGAAGAGCTACGCAGACACTGCACATGCTCTGCAGGAACTACTCCCCGAGGTGCTGGCCAGGGGACAGAACGGCATGTCCCACATCACCATCCGCTTCGACCCGGCCCTTCCACCACTGCCACGGCTCGGCTCACTCCCTTGGGGCCAGTCTCTCCTTCCACAATGTGTGAGCACCACAGCGACCGTGTGTCCTGTGTGTTCCTGGGACCCGGAAGGTCCTCACAGATCTGTGACAAGGCCCAAGTGCCTGGTAGCAGAGACATCACCTCTGCAGCTGGACTCAACTTTTCCACCCACGCAGAGCGTGCGTCCCCAGGGACCCCTACCCGTTTAGCTGGCGCTACATAGGTTACGCCTGACCTCAGGACCTGCCCGCCACAGAGCGTGCCCCAAGCCCCTGCAACTTTATCCGACGAGCGCAAACTCAAGTGCACGGAAAACAGCAAATACGTGAATGACCCTTACCTGTTCCTTCTGGTTTGATCTACTGAATAAATCTGTTTTCTCAGCCAACTGGAAAGAAATGTGAGACAAAAAAAGAGAAATAAAGTTAGAAAATTGCACACGTCTCCGCAAGCTCTGCTGACTGGGGATGAAAGAGACAAACAAAAAGGATCTTCCACCTTCCCCGCAAGGCCACCCTGTGGAGCAGGTCCTCTGCGGTTGAAGACCGTTGCCTGAGCCTAGGGGGTCCCTTCTACAAGGAAGCGCTGAGTCCCTATAAAGTGACAGCACCTCTGATGACAGTCATTAATCCCAATAAGCTGGTAAGGAAAAACGGTGCCAGGCGGAGGCTTTGGTTTGCTGGCGAAGAGTAACTCACCCCGGAGTCCCATCACATTCCCACGACACTGAAAAGGCAGACCAGGAAGGCCTTCGCCAGCCAGGAGGAAGTGACAGGCTGCAGGTCCAGACCCTGACTCTGCCACTCACCGACCCCGCTTGCCCCCCAACACAGCACCAACGGCTGTTTCCAACTCAGTTCCAAGGTAGCATCACCCGAAGGCCAGGACACAGACTGGCATCAGACGCTCTTACTGTGGGGCCCCCAAAGCCGCTATTAGGCACCACTGCATACACAGCTCTCAGGGAGCCTGGGGGAGGCCAGGATGTGGTTGAGCAGGCAGGGCCAAGTACCTCTCAATGATGGTGGGCGTGGACGCACTCACTGCTTCTTGGTGCAAGATTTTCAGGCCTGAGAGCCACCTAATTGCATCCTCTCTGGAGTCAGCTAGAGAGGGGATGGGAAGGGAAGTGCTGTGTTAACTGCTGGAAAGAGCTCTGCTTATAAGTGGCCGTCATGGACTGAATTCACAGGCTAAAGCCCCACCCCAGTGGCACAGTTTTTGGAGGTACGGCCTTGGGAGGTGAGGAGCTTCAGGTGAGGTCATGAGGGGGGCCCCCACAAAAGGATTAGTGCCCTTTTCAAGCAGAGAAAAAGAGACCTCCACTCCCTCTCCACCTGTGCGCACACTGAGAAGGCTGCATGAGCACACAGCAGGGGACCCCTGTCCAGAAGCCCAGGAAAGGGTTTCACCAAAACCGCACCACCCCAGCACCGTGATCTTAGACTTCAGCCTCCAGATTTGCAAGAAAATGACTGTCTGCTGTTGAAGCCACCCAGGCTCAGGCATTTTGTCATAGCAGCCAAAGCAACCTGAGATGGGGCCGGCACAGGACTTTAGACAGGAGCCCTCCTGTGGCCATAAGGATGGCACACTGAACCATGAACAGAAAAGCTGGTATTTGAAACTGGACTGGGCTCAAGCAGGGTCCTCAGCTCCAGCTTCTCAGGAAAATTGCTGAGGGCTCCCAATACCTATGCCTCCCCCAAAGGAAGTGAAGTCAGAAGGGAGAGCAGGAAAATTCCCAGCTGGAGCCACTGGGTATACCCAGACTTAGTGTCCTCCACGGCCATAACACAATGCCACAAACCCAGAGGTCAGAGTCTATAACAGGTTGGCAGGTGTCATGGCCCCAAATGTCTCATGTGTCAGAGACTAGGCTTTCGGAAGATGTCTGGCCATGGAGGTGCTATGCTCATTGGTGGATTACTCTGTGGGTGATGTCAAGGCTGAGTGTGTTGATAGGAGGCAGGGCCGTGAAGGGGACGTGGGTCACTGGGGATCCCCACAAGATCATTTGCACCACAACCCCAAGTGACCCTAGGCTTGCCCCGGGTCCAGGGCAGCCCAGGGAAGGGGAAGGGAAATGAGGCTATTTTTGGAAAAAAATGGCAAGAGGGTGGCAGAGAGCACAGCCTCAGAGAGGAAGAAGATGGTCACCCAGGTCCAGTCACACAGATCTGTCCAGCTGGCCACTGCACCTGCTTTGCACCCATGCTGTCATCAGATACCTCGCTATGACCACCTGTGAGTACCTGCGGTCTGATACTGTGCTCCCCTCTGCCCCACCGGAGGAAGAAACTGAGCCTCCGTCGGGCCATTAGTGCCAGAGCAGTGAGAAGCTGGGATCTGAACCCAGGCCTTAAACTCAGGGCTCTAAAAGGACCTCGGAGTGGCTCAGACACCAAGCTGGCATCCCAGTCCCAGCCTGGGGCTCCTGTGGTCTCCTTCAACAGCAATAACCAGAGCTCGGCCTGCGGTAAGACCTATGCGGCCAGAGCTCTTTAGGTTCAGTATCACAGGACCCCTCTCCCCACTCCATTTCTCCACCTGCCACCCACCAAGAGTGGGACATTCCTTCATCATCCCCCACCGCCAGCTTGCTACTTCCCTGTCTGAGCTCTTGCTCAGCCATGCCTGTCCTGGACTGCCCTCTCATGTTCCTTCCAACTCCTATAGATGCCTCAAACCCCAGTTTAAAATAAGTCAGCCCCTTGCAGAGCCCTCCCTGGAGTTAGGCATCTGTATCCCTCCTTACACTATGTGTGCACCGTCACACTGATCACAGTGTACTTAATTCCTGGCCACAGGATTGTGAACTCTGTAAGAGCAGCAACTGGATATCTTCCTCTCTTACACTATACTCATGTGTACAACCTAGCAGAGAACATGCACTTAACAGATGGGGTTTAGGGTGCTGCTCAGTGGTAGAGCTCTTGCTTAGCAGGCATGAGGCCCCGGGTTCAACCCCCAGCATGGCAAGCAAGCAAACAAAGAGATGCTTGATGAAAAAAATGACAAGAACCCCTAATTATATGTCTAATTTGACCCCTGATTAAATGTCTCTGCTTCGCTCAACTTCCACTGTCCTCTCAGTCTACTTTACCTGGATAACATCTATGATTCATCTTCTCCCATCAGGCCAGCCCAACAGACACTGCTGACTCCGCAGTTCTAGAGGTGGGCCTGAAAGCAGCCACCCCTTCTGCCCTGAGTAACTCCCTGGGCTGCTCCCCACTCTCATTCTCGCCTCCCAGACAGCTCCTCTTCTCTTTGATGGATCCACAAGGACAGCTAGAAAGCTCATGCATGTCACTAGGTGCACATATGCCTGCATGTGTGCACATGTGAGTACATGTGCTGTGTGAATGCATGTACATATGAGACCTCAAGAGAGTTCTATCATGTCAGAGTCAAGTTTGCTATACAACATCTGCTGGAGGAAAGCAGGGCACTTTTTTACCTAGCGGAGCCTGGCCTGTATTGACCACATTTGTTACCATCTCTTCAACTTTCAACAGGAGCCAGGCAGCTACCACTCCTCCCAACATCCCAATGAAACGGGCATGATTGCTCTCCCCATTTCGCAGTTGAGCAGTTGCAGCTCAGAAAGGTTAAGCAGCTTGCCCAAAGGCATACAGCAGGCCTGGGATTCAAAACCAGGAGGCAAATACATGTTAGTGGGCAGGCAGGTATGAGAAGCTACCACTAGAGAACTTCTTCAGAGGAAACTGAGGCACAGAGAGGGAGAAGAGCAGACAAATGTGCACCCACTTGCCAAACTGAGTGTGCTGAGGACGAAATGGGTGCCGTAAAAGACGGTGAAGCAGCAGTCTTCCTTCTGGCGGACTGCCTTTGCACGCTCGAAGTCCTTGGAGTTCTTCCCTGGGCGAATTTCCTTGATTTCCATGATATCCACTAGAAGGAAATAAACACAAGCCAGTGAGAAGCCAGTGCTCACCGCACCCCAGGACACACCAGCACACCTGCAGGCTGGGCACACCCAGCTCCTCTGCTCCCCAGGAGAGACCTGAAGCATCTCTGTAACTGGATCCCCATCTGAGCTTGGATCCCCTCCTCCTGCAGGAGGACAAAGGACCAACAGCCTGCTCAGGCACTTGCCACCATCCCACGAGCCCCTGGAGTAGGTCATCTTGGGGTTTCCTCTCACCCCTTCCCAAGATGAATGAAGCATTAAACTAGGACACGAGCTACAGCAATGCAACTCAGAGGTGAAGGGAGACACAGGATATTCTACCAAAACAACAGACAGGGCTACTGCTCTGAACAACACGAAAACCTGACTGTCCACTGACCTGGGCCTTAGTGATCTTTTCCCCACATCTTAAAAGCTAAAGTGCTCTTTAGTTCAATTCAAGAGGAAAAGGAAAAAGAAAGCACTGAATACTATTTTTAAAGGGAGCAGGGCAGAAGCCAGGGTGTGGGGCGATCACAGGAACTCCAGAGACCACAGGCCAACTGGAAGAGGACGAAGAGTGTGGTGGACCGTCACACTGCTGGTCCTTAATAGGCTACAGCTTCCAGTATTTGTGTTTCATGTCATCACCTGCCCTTGAGTCCAGGCTTTCCCTGTCATCTGCCCTAACTCATAAAGTATGGAAATGCTGGGCCAATCCTGGACCTAACCATTAAAAAGGTCAGCAGCTTCCCTTCCTGTGCTCAAGGGAGAAGCCAGCTCCCATGTAAGTTAGGCAGCTCTGAGACTGCCAGGCTGTGAGAAGCCCAAGCTAGCCATCTGGAGAGGCCTCGCAAGGAGAACCAAGGCCTCCAGCCAATAGCCAGCAGGTGGCTGTGCCATCTTGGAAATGGACCCTCTGTCCCCAGTGAGCCACTTCAACAGCTGCTATGGACAGCAAAACCCAGCTCCAGACCCTGACACCTGCCAAGACAGCACAACTGTGGCTTAAGCCACGGAGCGTGGGTTAGTTTGCTGTACAGTGGCAGCAGAAACAGGAAGGCATCCAGGGTGCCCACCAGACCCTAGGAGTCCCTCCTGCCTTCACGGGGCGACCACTGAAGGGTGGGCTGGCCCCAGGTGACAAGCTTGACTAGTTCCTTCTTGTCCCTGGGACAGACCTGCTCTGTGTGCTTTAGATAAAGGCGATTCACACAGGAATAACTACATGCTGGCTCTGCAACTGGACAGGGACAAGCACATGGTCCAGCCTTCCCACCTGCATCCTTCTGGGACTCACCTGGCCAGTGCTATTTATACAATCTCTCCCCTGCTGTCACTAAGCTGGTGAAACGTGAGCCTGGGTAGCAGGGACCCTGCTGCCTGTCCCTTCCGACTTGAAGTCAGTGTCACCCTGGAATACGCTACTCACAAGAACCATTAAATCCTCCCCTGTCACTTAGATTAGTTTCAGATGAGCTTCTGTAGCTCATGACCAAAAGAGCTGCTTCGCACACCTCTGCTCACGCACAGACCAGAGCAAAGGGAGAGAAGACACTCTGGGAAGAGGAGCACGGAGCCCTGCACCGGGAGAGGAAAGCAGGCAGGAGGCTACGGCCTGGAAAGGTGTCTTAGTTACTTTTCTCTTGTTGCTGAGACAAAATATCCAATACCCAAAACTAATGAAGGAGAGGCTTATTTAGCTCACAGTGTGTGGAGCTTTCAGTCCATACTTGGCTGGCTCCAAGGCAGAGTGACACATGGCAGAGGGCAAATGTTCACGGTGGCGGGAAAACAGCAAAAGCAGCAAGAGCAAAAAGAGAAGTGGCCAAGAGCAAGGCTTTTTCCCTCCCTTATATTGTATGCAAACTGTCTGCCCCAGGTTCGGTGTAGCACTCACTCATAACCCCAGTATTAGACTATAGATCCATCATAAACTCTAGAAGCCTGCCCCATGACTGCATGAGGCTTTGCAGGGGACATACAAACACAAACCATAACGGAAGGGGAAGACATAACTAAGTCTGAACAAGCGAAGAAAGTGCATTTATTTATGTTTTGTCTTTTTCTTCCCCAGTACTGATGCTTGAGCCCAGAACCTGTGCACTAAGCTCTCAGCTCCCTTTTGTTATTGTGAGACAGGGTCTTACTACATTGCTAAGTTGCCCACGCTGGGCTCAAACTGGCAATCCTCCTGCCTCAGCCTCCCAAGATTCTGAGATTATAGGTGTGCACCACCATGCCCAGCTGTCATTTCGGACAAAAAAAATGATTGCATATACTTGTCCTGAACAATATGATGTTTTGAAACAGGTACACATTGAGACAGCTCAATCCTAATTAGCACGAGTTACCTCACTGACTTTACCTTTTTTTGTGGTGAGAACATTTAAAATCTATTCTCTCAGTTATTAAAAAAAACAAAACCAATATATTGTTATTCACTGTGGTCCCTGTGTCATACAAGGAGAAGAGACATTTTAGAGTCAGAGCTGAAAGAATAAGAAAGGCTCCTGGGCAGCCCCAGGTAACAAGTGGAGAGGTGCCAGAGAATTCACAGAGAGGAGACAGATGAGCCCACAGCCTCCTGCTCCCTTTACAGAGTGAGCTCTGCCAAGAAAAGCAGGGGCATGAGGGCCATGAACTCCTGGGAAGAGACCGGAAATACCACGTTTGCTCTGTTCTCGTGTGCGCGTGTGTGTGTGCGTGTGTGTATGTGTTGGTCGATACACGGGGCTATTTGTTGTGGGATCTCATAGCACCACTCACCAAAACAGGAACAAAACAACAGGGAGAGCAAGGGCATGTAAAAGGCGGTGCAAACCAACGAGGGCCTGGTTTTGACCACAGCGATCAGGCGTTATCACTGGGGGAGTTCCCAGAAAATTTTTGCCAAATCCACTTGAGTCTAAAATTATTTCAAAACAGAAAGTTTTAAAAATCATTTATCACGTACGAATGACCCTGCTATGGGGGGAGTCGCTAAGCGTTGGCGGGGTGAACAGGTGGGGCAGGGGGACAGGGCCTCCACCCTCACCCAGCCCAGACCCTGGAGGCTTCCCTATCTCCGCTATTCGTCTTTGTTCCTCAAAAATCCTCTGTGCACTACAATTCATAAAATTCTAGGGGGAAACTGGCTTTCCTAATTTAACTGCTTTTGTAATTACCTAAAAACTTCAGTGGTGCTAAAGTTTGTTTTCAAAAATAGTTACTGCTATGGTTTAAATGGAGACTGTCCCCCAAGTGTCATTTATTCAAAAGTGGGATTTGGGGGAGGTGACTGGAGCATGGCGGTGCTATACCCTTCATGGATTCATCCATCGATAAGTTCATGGCTGCGGGCTGTTAGGAGGTGGGGCCTGTGGGAGGAGGCAGGTTGCTGGGGGCGTGGCCTGGAAGGGTTTATCTCTCTCCCTGGCTCCTCCCTTTTCTCTCTCTCCTTCCTGGCTGCCAGGAGGTGAGCAGATTTCCTCCGCCATGCCCTTCCACCATGAAATTTGCATTGGCACCAGACAACCACACACTATGCCCTTAAAACATGATTAACCTCTCCTCCTTTAAGTTGCAGGTGTCAGGTACTGTGTCCAGCAACAGGCAAGCTGATATACTCACCCACCCAGCTGACTACCAGTCCAGAGTCCAGCAACTTCAAGCAAAACATTTGCTTCTTCTAGCTTGTCTAACAATTCTTCCCCCATAGCACGTTTCTACAAAGGAAACAGTGAGCTTTTATCCTTGCTGTAGAATTATAATAAAAAGTAGACACTTTTTGTGCTGTAACACTGTCTTCCAGCAATCATCCAGTGCTATGAGTTCTGTTTCCAAAATTGCTCAGGAAGCCTTCAACATCTTTCCATTCCCACAGTCAAACCCCTGAGCCATTGCTATTACATCTCCCACTGTCTACTGAAGTCTTCTCCCAGCAACCTGTCATCGCAAGAGCTATCTTTAAGACATGCTCATGCCATTCCTCGGCATCAAGCCCTCCAAAGCCATCCCACAGTTATTAGGATGAAGGACCACGCCCCACACACATGCACATGTGCAAAGGGACATGCAAGACAACTAAGGAAAGAAAGTGACCAGACCCACAACAGCCACTCCAGATCCACGCAGCCCTGAGCACCCATACCCCGCATCGCACTTTGGCACAGCACACACCCCTTGGAAACCAGGCCTGTACCCAGCCAGCCACCTCCATTACTCCCTGGCCACCCCTTCAGGTGAGTGTTGGTTTGTTTACCACACCTATGAACACACCATCCTTCGCCACTGAGCTGTCCTTACTCCAGGGTCAAAGCTCAGTCAGTGATACTCTTCTGGGCACCTTGGTCACTGATCTAGCCATCTGTTCTTCTGCCAACACCACACTGTCTTGATTACTGTAGCTCTGGGTAATGTCAGCCTTTAACTTTGTCCTTTGACACTGTATTTGCTACTCTGGACCTATGGCTTTTCTGTGTAAATTTTAGAATCAGTTGGTCAATAACCACAAAATGATTTGCCAAGATTCTGTGATTAATAATTAGAATAGATTTAATTTCCCCATTTCCTGACACACAACTTTTAAAATCCTTAGACTCTCCAACGTCATGTGTCCTACATATACTAACCCTGTGAAATATTCTCTACAATAAACCAGTAATGGTAGATGCTTCCCCGGGTTCTGTGAGCCACTTTAGCAAATTAATTGAACCCAAGGAGGGGATCATGGGAACCTCAGCTTGTAGCTGGTCAATGAGAAGCTAAGGTCATAACTTGGGGCTTGGGAAGTGAGAGCAGTTTTATGGAGCTGAGCCTTCAGCCTGTGGGATCTGAAGCTATTTTCAGGTAAAGTGTCATCTTTGAAGGGAATCAGATGACACCCAGCTGGTGTCCATGGGAGAATAGTGTGTTTGGCCTGTGGGGAAAACCCACACACATCTGGGTCAGAAGTGGTGAGTGAACGGTGAGGAAAGAGAGTAGAGAGAAACATTTTGGTTTGGCCTTTCCAGAGGTGAGG